GCAGCTGTGAAAGTAGCGTTAGCTACATCCAGCATGCAGAAAATTAAGGCTGTGCACTAAGTGAAAAATGTACAGTAAGTTACGATGGCTCTGAAAAAAGTGGCTCATAATTGCTCCTCACATTCAAGACCCTCACAGTGTCCTGCCGTCATGTGTTCACACAATGTTCTGGGGTCACGTGATCCCTTGACAAAGGGCTCTTTACGACCGTTGCTGCGTCCCAGAGTTACATGAGTCATAAGTATGAACCAGTTGCCAAGTGTCTGAATTTTGATCACGTGGTCATGGGGCTGTTACAGAGGTCCTAAGTGCGAAAAATGGTTAAGCCAGTTTTTTCCAGTCTAGTTGTAACTTTGAACGGGTCACTAAATGAACTGTCGTAAGTCGGGGACTACCTGTATTCATCTGGGTCTCACACCAACCAGCCCTGCACCTGTCTTATCCTCCCTGTAGGGTGTAGCTCAAAATCTGATTTTATTTTATTTATTCCTTAAATTTATATGCTGCCTCTCTCACCCCTAAGGCAACTCTGGGCGATGTAGAAACAGTGGAAAGAATGTGACTAATTAATATTGATTAATAAAACATTAATGTTTTAAAAAGCTAGATTAAAAGCTAGAGTCCTGCAGATGGATGGCATGGGGACGAGATCCTTTTCTTAACCCATCTACCACCTTCAGCATTGAGTGCCTCCCTTGAGGCCCTAAAGCCAGGAGTGTCAAACTCTAATTCATTGAGAGCGGCATCAGGGTTATGTTTGACCTTGGGGAGGCGGGGGGGGGCGTGACTGGGGTGGGTGTGGCCAGTTCAATCATGTCGGGGGCGCCTATAGGCGGTCTGAGCGCTCTGCCAGTGAAAATGGGCTCCCGAGCTCCGTTTTTGGTTGCGATGACCTCCTGCAACCCTCCGCCAGCGAAAACAAGATTTTTACTGGTAGAGGCACTGCAGGCGGTCTTTTGCTGTTTCCGGGGTGACCCTGTGGATCAGATGTAAGTACCCCGTGGGCCTGATAACAGCCCCTGGGCCTAGAGTTTGACACTCCTGCCCTAAGCCAACGGACAAAAACTAGGTTTTGACTCTTCTCCCCTTCTGAGTGAGTGGGGCGGCTAGCCCCACTGGGGCATGACTGCTTCTCAGATACCCTGGATCCATGCCTTAAAAGTGCTTTTTTTATTAGTGTTGTGGGCAAACACAGCCATTTGTGACTTATCAAACCATATCTTTAGAAATGGTAAGACCCAAACACGATCTTGGGGCAGTGGTTCTCAATCTGTGGCCTGGGGGCCCTTGGGGCCCCCACAGTATCATCACAGGGGAACGTGAAGGCTTGAAAAAATGTTATTTAAATCTTCCCAAGTCTTGGGATGCGGGTCCATGGCCATGAAACGTTTTTAAAGAGCATCCGTGGGGAAGAAAACATGGAGAACCACTGCATACCTTTTGTTAATTTAATAGCTGAATCAGAGAGAGTCGGGTGGCAAACAGGTTTGCTAAATTATTATTATCACAACACAGTTTCTTGTGGTGCAGCTGCATGAAGCCCAATTGTTGTGGTTTGTAAACCATGACTAGATGTTTGGTGTATTGTGTATGCCTTACCGGTCTGGTTTAATCAATAAGGCATAGTGAAACAAATAATGGCTTGGTGTTGGCATACAAATTAAATCAGCCTCCTGCTCTAAAAATGCGCTCTGTGACTAAAGTGTCCTGATTTTAAAATATTCCATGTCAACTGTTGCAACAGTTTTAACTGTTGCAACAAAATGCTAGTTATTAGCATTACGGTCTATTGATTACCTATTGATGGAGTTTCTGTTCCACACAATACAATGCTTCCCCCATCAGAGGCTATGAATTATTTAATTTCTTTCCCCAGTCTGTCAGAATGCCAATGTGGGAATTGTAGTTGAACAATGATTTGTGCCACAAGGTATCATGTATTCTTACTCATGTTTATACTTATGCCTATTATCTTGTAAGCGATTGACAAATCGAATAAATAAAATAAAATAAAATAAACAATGAAAACCAGAAAATCTTTAGTGTGCTTTTGAAGAAAACGCTAGTTAGAAGTCACTGATGTTTGCCATTCTGTACATAAAATACCCTTAAAGACCCATTCATGGACTTCTTGTGCGATACTGCTTTTATCACAGTAAGCAATGGGTAGCTTTAATTATGTTTGTTTACGGCTTAGGGTGTTACCTGAGTTTGGCTTGTATTGGGTTGTATGGTGGAGTATTAAAAACTGTAGTGGCTTATTTAGCAAACTGTGTCTTAAGGCACTGTATAAATCTAGCATGTTTTGTTGTCAGGACAAAATGGTGAAAATCATGTTATGTCATGTTTTTGTTTGCTTGATATACCAAATAACTTACAAACATTTTGGTTATATAGAGATAGATTGCATTAAGGAGAATTCTGCAAATAAATAATATTTAGTTTTCTTCTCATGGATATAGGGGACAATTACATACCTGAGGTCTTCCCCTAATATAAGAAAAGTGGTTTTCTAGATATTCAACCTTTACCAGCCTTTCCTGGTTTTTCATATTACAGGTAGTTGTTGATTTAGGACCAGAATTTCTGCTGATAAAGTGATTGCTAAGTGAATCACGCCTGATTTCACTACCTTATACTTGCCATGGTTGTTAAGCGGATCACTGCAGTAGTGAATCATTTGGTCATTAAGCAGATTTCTCTTCCCCATTGACTTTGCTCGATAGAAGCCAGCTGGGAAGGATTCAAATGGTGACCATTTGATCCTAAGACCCTCAATTTACATAAATATATCCCATTTCCAAGCTCTCAGATTTTGATCATGTGACCAGGGGGAAATGCTGCAAGATGCTTTTGTCACTGCCATTGTAGCTTCAAGCAGTTGCTAAATGAATAGTTGTGAGGACTACCTGTAATTGGACAATTATTATTATACCTTATTACCAAGGCAAGCCCTTAGGGTAGGATTGTGTTTGGGTGAAAGCCATTGTAAAGTGCTTCTTAAAGGTTAAAATTCTTCAGGAATACACAGAACTATATATAGGGAAAGAATCATTGAAAGGTAGCATAACAAATCCGATGTTCTCCAGATATACCGTGTTTCTCCAACAATACGGCCTCCACCAATAGGAAGGCCCAGCATGATTTCTAGGCATGAGGTGAAATTAAGCCCCGCCCCCCAAAATTTAGGCCTATTTAAACCATGTGTTTCCCCACCATTTCTCACATCGTTCGTTAGAACTACACGAGGTGAAGAGAAATGGGAAGGGAAGGGAAGGGGGGGAGAAAACTTGCAGGTAGCCTAGGCTAGAATACCCTGATCTACTATCGATAGAACATCAGCCGATAGAAGCTCCCCAAAGGCAGAGTGACCAGCTGCTTCTATCGGCCGGTAGAAGCGGCTGCTGACTCTGCCTTTGGGGAGCTTCCATCGGCCGATAGAAACGGCCTCGTGAGGGGAGCTCGCATTAGTTGTCTTTGAATCTACCAGCGGGGCAGGAGAGAAAGCCCACGCGTATCTGTGTCTGGATGAAAATTGTGAGATTGCGACAGAGGGAATGGGAGAAAACGCCTTAGCCCAAATGTGTTCTTGTTTTGCTTTCTTGCCCATTCTCTGATCAATCTCTCTGGGGCAGCTTTTGGCCTAAAATCGCCCAGGTCTCCCTCAGCTAAAAGAGAGGGGAGGTCTCCAAAGACCATCCCTAACCTCCGCCATTTGAGAGGACCAAACCCATTGCTTCTCAAAGTTAGACCCACAAGTTTTTCAAAAGTTCTTCTGAACGCCTCCGACGTCCGATGAAATCCAGAAATGTCTCGTGATTGAATTCAATAAGAAAAAAAAAAAACCTGCACCTCGTCGCCAAGTCCCTGGTTTTACGGCTCCTCTCTCGTCCTGAATTATGCCGAAATAAGGGATTCCGAGGCTGGCATGGGTTAATTGGTTAATGATGGGCGCTCTTTCAAGCGCTCAGAGAGAGAGAGAGAAAAGGAGGCGTCGCTGAAGTTATCAGACTGCCCCCCAACTGTTAGCAACGCCACCCGTGAGCTGTGGCAGGATTGCCTCGGATCATGTGCAGAGTGTCTTCGCTGTTCAACTCCCCCGCCCCACGACTCAAGGTTCATACTAAAATTAGGCCTGTCCAACCAGCCCCTGCAAATATTCGGTCTTCACCAGAGCAAAAGAAAGGACGGTTTAGCTTCTCTCCTGCCCTTCTTCGCTCCAGCTCCCTTCCGCGCCACGGCGGTGACCCTTTCACACTCACCCCGCTTCCTACGATGACCGCTCCCGCGTCTCCTTTCAGGAGCCCGCCCGATCTCCCTTCTAAGGGTAGCCAAGCTCTGCTGCCTCTTCTTCCCTCCCTGGCACCCCCCCCCCCCCCGCTCCTCAAACCAGCGGCGGCAGCAGCAGGTAAAGGGAGGTCGGCTGCCCTGGGACTTTGGCAGGGTGCCCAGAAAAGGTCTGGCCTGGGGAGGGGAGGGCGGCAGTGGGAACCCCGCAGATACTGAGACCTTCCCTCGCCAGAAGGGCTTGGCTGACCCGGTGCAGGGATGCGGGCTAGCAGGGGCGGTGTGTGTGTGTGTGTGTGTGTGTGAGAGAGAGAGAGAGAGAGAGAGAGAGAGAGAGACTCAGCTTGTTTCCCTTCTGCTAAGAAAAGTTTGCAGCCGCTCTCCCATGCGCACTCCCCTCACCACGAAGCCGTTTCTATCGGCCGATGGAAGCGGCTGGTGCCTCTGCCTTCCACAGACCGGTCCCGGTCCAGAGCCCGGTGGTTGGGGACGCCTGCTCTACTCAAGGCAGGAGATGTTATACCATCCTGGTCACATGGTTGTCCAGCCTTTTTTTTTTTTTTTTTTGGTAATATTTGCGAATATTTGGGACCATGGTATCTGCAGATCCCAGTCACCAAGGATGATGTTCAACAATCATGGGAATTCTAGTCCTAAATATCTAGAAGGCTTCAAGAGCTGCCACAGCGCAGGGGTTAGAGTGCAGTACTGCAGGCTACTTCTACTGACTGCCAGCTGCCTGCAATTTGGCCATTCGAATCCCACCAGGCTCAAGGCTGACTCAGCCTTCCATCCTTCCGAGGTGGGTAAAATGAGGACCCAGATTTTGGGGGGGCGATAGGCTGACTGTAAAACCGCTTAGAGAGGGCTGTAAAAAGCACCGTGAAGCAGTATCTAAGTCTTAAGTGCTATTGCTATATCACCTGAAAGATTGTTCTTGGCATCTAGCCTTGCCTGCCGTTGTTCTGGCTGTGTAACAGAAGGTCACAGCCCTTAACCAGTGGCCCACCCTGCCCTTATCAGAGGCTGCAAGGAAGGACCCAACGGAATTCGGGCCCTTCACGAGAGGCATGAAATGTCACTGATAATTTGGAAAGACACACAATGAATTCACGGCCCGGATTCTCCCATCCATTTAACAGAAGCGATTCGTGAGGAAACACGAACCGGTTGACTTGAATGAATCACTCCGGGCTAGTAAAAGGACTATCTTGCATAAGGGTGGAAGTGAAACTTCCAGGGAAATTGCCACAGAAGGGGAAATCTCTTTCGAAAGAAAAGGCCCTCGGAGGCTGTTCTTTCCGGGCTGAATGACTGTCCTCGGCCTCACAGCTAAGTAGGAAGTTGACATTAGTGCAAACCATAGTCGGCTTAGTTGCTTCAACATGGCTTTTAGGAAAGAGAATGTGCTTGAAGGCTGCTTTGGTCTCCTTAAATTTCATGGCTGATTCCTAAGCCGCATATGCAGCAGCAGTTAAATCCTGTGGAAGTTGGAAAAATGTTGGGGTGCTTAGTAATTGCTGCTTAAGGGGGCGTCCAAGTAGAACGAATGTGGAACGGCAGCTTTTTAGCTTTCCGCTTTTTAAGGCATCCTCGTCCTCCAGTAAGCAAAAAGCAGCTTGCTTTGCTGTTGCCTTAGCATCTTAAATCTATAAACCCAGCCATTGTGGTTTATGGTTAGGCACATGCCATCAGCCAACTGTGATTTATTGAAGAGAGGGTATTTGCTGGGGAACCCCTATACTTTTGATCAATTCTAAAGCATTGTTTTTCAAACTGGGCAATTTTAAGCCGGGTGGAGATGCTGACTGGGGAACTCTGGGAGTTGAAGTCTACACATCTTAAAATCGCGAAGGTTGAGAAACACGGTGATAGACTCTCCTGGCTTTAGCATAAACATAAAATAAATAAACAGGCACCCCTCAAAGCTGGTGAAAGAGGAAAACTTAACCAGGATGCAATTTGTGTAGCTTTTCCAGACTTTATATGCCTGAATTCAGTAACTGTTCAGTATTATTTTACATTAATTGACACTATGTCTTGATCCTATTCGACCAGGATGGTGATGATATGAGTAGTAACAGAGATCAGCTGGCTATTCTTCCAAAGTTTTAATGCTTGGCAGCTAACATAATTTTTAAAATAAGTAGAAACAATATTTCATCAGTCAGAGGAAAATGTCCTGCCTATTGTTGTATATCCTCAATTTATAGCCATGATCGGCAGTGGAATTTCTATGCCTAACCAAGGCATTTTTATGTGAGTTGTGCGGGATTTTAAAAACTTTTTTTTTGCCATGGCTGGGAAACAAAATCACTACAGTCATTAAGTGAATCATGAGGATGTTAAGTGAATCTGGATTCGCCCATTTCTTTTAGTAACCTGGCTGGAAAGATTGCAAAATAGCAACCACACATCTCCAGGACACTTCAACTATCATAAATACAAGTCGTCCATAAATACAACAGTTCATTTAGTGACTTGTTCAAGGTTACAGTGCTGGAAAAAAGCAACTTATGACTGTTTTTCACACTTACAATCGTTGCAGCATCCAAATGGCCACGTGATCAAAATCCAGATGCTTGACAACTGACTCGTATTTATGACGATTGCAGTGTCCCAGGATCACATGATCCCCTTTTTCAACCTTCTGAAAAGAAAAGTCAATGGGGAAGCCAGATTCACTTCACAACCGTGTTACTAACTTAATAGTTGCAGTGATTCACTTAACAACCATGGCAAGAAAGGTCCTAAAATGGGGAAAATTAATTTAATTGTCTCCCTTAGCCACAGAAATTGACATCTCCCTTTGCCATCCCTTGTTGTCTTGTTTTTTATCTTGAAATTCTAATATTCATAATAATTCATATTAGCCATTCGAATTTCTCCCTTTTTATCTACAAAATACTTCTCGTGGTGAGAGCCCCAAAGATGTTTAGGGTCATAATCTATTTCATACAAGTAGTCCTTGACCTGCATCTATTTGTTTAGTGACTGCTCTAAGTTACAACAGCACTGAAAGAAATGACATGAACATTTTTCGCACTTATGACCATTGCACCATCCCCATGGTCATGTGACCAACATTCAGACACTTGGCAACTGGCATGTATTTATGACTGTTGCAGTGTCCCGCGGGCAATGGAATCCCCTTTTGCAAGCAAAGTCAATGGGGAAGCCAGATTCATATCACTTAACACAGATCACACTGTGTTGCTAATTTAACAACTGCATTACCTAGCAACTGTGGCAAAAAAAGACCGTAAAATGGGCAAAACTGACTTAACAACTGTCTTGTTGTTAAGCAAGAAAAATTTTGGGCTCAATTGTGGTCGTAAATTGAGGACTACCTGTATTAGGTAAAAACCCACCTGGACTCCTGAATAAATTCTTGCACAATTATTATTGATTATCGCACAATAAGGTTGATGTTTTCAGACTAGATTGGACATTTTTTTCTACCCAATGACTCCTTTCCAAGGACCTGGGATGGGCAGATGTGGGATGTTTGATGGTGTTACAGGAAATGGAAAAGTTGAGTTGAGTTGGACCTTAGAGGTCTTCTAGTCCAACCCCTTGCTCAGGCAGAAAACCCTATAGCATTGCAGGTAAATGGTTGTCCAATCTCTTCTTGAAACTTCCAGTGTTGGAAGCGAATGGAGCATTCACAACTTCTGCAGGCGAGTCGTTCCACTTGTTAATTCTTATAACTATCAGGAAATTCCTCCGTAGTTCTAAGTTGCTTCTCTCCTTGTTTAGTTTCCACCTGTTGCTTCTTGTCCTGCCTTCAGGGGCTTTGGAGAATATGGTTGCAGGATGTCGGCTGTTCCAAGTAAAGCTGAATTCTGCAATTGGCTGATGGTGAATTTGTGAATGCTGATTGTGGTCAAACGGTGCTCCTGTTTGTTATTACTATTACTTTTAGCAATGAAAGAGGGTTTGTTGAAATACTCATTCCAACCTTGATATTCCTCTTGTGGTTTTTTTAGCTCCAGAACCTGGGTATCAACCCAGCCAACATCGGCTTCAGTACTTTGACCATGGAATCTGACAAATTCATCTGCATACGAGAGAAAGTGGGAGAGCAGGCTCAGGTGGTCATCATTGATATGAATGACCCGAACAATCCGATCCGCCGGCCAATTTCGGCTGATAGTGCCATCATGAACCCTGCTAGCAAAGTGATTGCCCTCAAAGGTACGGAAAATGCTTTCCAGTCGACTTTGTGTTTTGTGATTCCAAGGCCTGGATTTCAATGTGTCTCCTGAGGGGTCCCACTGTCCCAGGTTCCTTATTTGAGCCACAACTGCTAATGAAACAAATGTAAATTTTCATTTTCTCCCCTCGATAGCAATGAAAAGCTGTGCTTGGCCCAGTGTTTGCAACAACCATTGTGTGAAAACTAACGGGGTTGATTAGTTCCTAAGCATTTGACCCTCTCGACATTATCTTATCTTAAAATGTGTGCTTTTAATCTGTGGAAATTAAAAAAAAAAAAAGGTTCTGTCCTTTAAAAAAAAGAAGCAGCATGGAGGTTTTGTTAAAACATTTCAGGGCAAAGATGGAGATACTTCCTACAAACACATTTATTTTCCTAAGGCATGCACAAATTTCCTACTCTGTGATATGCCGAAAGTCTCCTGATGTAGATCATAGTAGAGGTAAATCAAAATGAAATTATAGTTCTTCTTACATGATTATAGAGGTGGCGTGGTGGTTAGGATGCAGGGCTTCTAGGCTGGAAAGCCGGCAGTCCAGGTTGAAGACCTGAGGGCCACGCGACGTCCCTCCCCAACTTCTGTCAGTCTAGCATTTTGAAAGCGTGCAAATGCGAGTAGATAAATAGGTACCACTTTGGTGGTAAAGTAACAGCGTTCCTTGACGTGATGCTGGCCATGTGACCAGGGAAGGTTCAGCGGCCTTGAAATGGAGATGAGCAATGCCCCCTATAGTCAGCAACAGCTAGAGGGGTAAAATCCTCAGGGACTCCTTACGCCAGGGGTCCCCAACCCCTGGTCTGTGGACCAGCACTGGGCTGCGGGATGCCAGCAACTGGGCTGCGCAAACAAGCAAAGCCTCATCCGCGGGATGCAGGCAGCATGCAAAACCGCACTCCCTCCGGTCCATGGAAAAACCTGTCTCTACAGGACTGGTCCCTGGTGCCCAAAAGTTTGGGGGCCGCTGCCTTACGCGACTATAGTTATATTCTACCTTAGGGCTCATATGGTCACAAGTCAGGTCCCAACTGGAACTGTCTTTACAATGGATGCTAAATGTCTCGGGTAAACCAGTTCTTTTCTTCCCCCGAAGCCCAGCAAATTTGCCTTCAGAATGTCCACAGATTGCCACATGTTTTTCCCCGCCTCCCCCATGGTGGATAAACTAAGCTCTAAAACTGTCTCATTACAGCAGCGTCCTCTTTTTCTGACGGCTTTAATGTTTTATCACTATTTTTGTCACACTTCCTAATGCTTTCTTGTGTGTGCAGATGGTGAGTTACCTCTTGTATTGTATTTGCCTTTGTCCTGTTTTATGAAAAGAGAATGCAAAAGGCTTGCCAGATTAAAAGTTTCAAAAGTTAGCACAGCTGCCTTATGAAGGGCTACAGATGTGCAAAACTCAGTGATACAGGAATGGGATGTGCTGGGATACTCCGGAGCATCTCCTGAATTAGTCGGTTCTGTACATCCCTAACGAGCATTTCTCTTCTCTCGTGTGAAATTTGGATTTCAGCACTTGGTGACAATTGGGAAGGAGGGGAAATAACTGAATGCTAGAACCCTACAGGCATTTCTGCTTGGGTATGCATCAGACTTTTTATAAACGGGACAGAGACTTACAATATCATATCTGGCTGTATATTGCTTTTTGTGTATTCTGTATATAACGTGGGAGGGACGGACATGGCTGAAATGAAGCCTTTCAGGCTTTCAAAGAAAAAAGAATGAGCCTATTGATTTATGTATATAAATATTGATTTATATCCCCCCCCCATTCATTCAGGATTCAAGACAGTTTTTACCTAGTGCCTCCCTCCTTTTGTAAAACTACCCTCCTGAAATCCATGATCATGTAGGGGTTTATTTGCTTTTTTCTTTAAAAAAAAATCAGTTTAACCTTCTATTTAAAGGACAACATCTGAATATGGAGTCTAACTCTTTGGTGGACAAGTGTGAGTCTTTAACCCTCAAATTTAGTGTTTTAATAGCTTTGAAAGTCTTTATCTGCATAGTTTCAGTGCTGTGTGTTCCTTTGGATTGAAGGTGGTGCAGTCTTGTGGGGCTGGTAGTGTCCTTGGAAGTATCTGTAGCTCAATCTCTTAGTCCTCCTCCCCCCCAAACTTATCAGCCTATTTCGCTTCTAGCCTCCCATGCCTTCCCCTGCTCCTCTCTTCCACAAATGTAATATCTTTATGTAGAAATATATTCTCTCCTCGCTCTGTTTGTCTTTTAAACATTACCAATAGTTTATAGCAGAGGTGGGGAACTATGGCCCCTTTATGACTTCTGGACTTCAACTCCCAGAATTCCTGAGCCAGCATGGCTGGCTCAGGAATTCTGGGAGTTGAAGTCCACAAATCATCAAACTGGCCATAGTTCCCCATCTTTGCTTTATAGAGATCGACATGTAAGGGGGTAATTTCACGAAGTCCTGCTTATTTGTATTTTATCCCTTCGGTGTCCTACATTTCCTCAAAGATCTTCAGAGGAGGACCCAAAATGGCAGTTCTCATTTTAGAGCGACCCTGTGTGGCAGATTAGGGAGGTTAGATTAGATTATACTGAAGGCCATACAGGAATTCAGACTCACATTTTCCTGGTTTGTGGATTTCGGCTAAAACACACTTAACACCGTATTTGAAAGTACCAATAGAAGAGATTATTTGTAGCTCAGGGTTGAATAGGTGGGTTCTTGGTAGTCTCTGAGCTTGGTTGTTTTCTTGCAGAAAACTTTTCATTACCTAACTAGGCAATATCATCAGTGCTACGAGGGAGTGGGGTTTTCTCTCATTTTATATACCAATAGCTTGATCAGTATTGGTGGGATTGTTCACAGTGATTCCTTGACTGGGCCTGTTGTTGGGGAACTTGCAGGGACATTCTTGCCAACACTGACAGAGCAAGCCATTGGTATATAAACAGAGTTTACCTACTCTCTTTCAGCACTGATGATGTTACGTAGTTGGGTAATGAAATGTCTGCAAGAAAGCAACCAAGTTCAGAGATCACCAAGGACCCCACTTTGAAAGTTAGCAGCATGATCCATATTGAACGTTCGCTCTTTCTTAATTCTTTCAGGTATTCCCCTTGGTGACCTGCACCTCACTTTTCCTAGTTGTAATTGTACTCTCTCCCTTTTCTAAATCCCTGTGTTTTCTGTACGTTTTAGTCCATAGTATGCATTAAGGGCAACGGTTCATTTAAAAGCTAAACTAGCAATCCCATCTAAGAAAGTGCCGGCAAGATAAGACTTGGCAGCTAACCTTAGGCGATTCCCCATATTTCTTCTAGATATGGATATTAATGTGTGTGTTGCACTGATGTTGTATGTCTTGATGTACTTATATCTTCTCAAGCAAGACGTGAAATGAGTTGCTTGGGTTAAGGATGAGTAACTTTGCATGAATGTTGAGCATCATGAGAGAAAACTGCAATTGGCTTCGAAGCCCTTATCAGTTCAGCCCTTGGCTCTCTGTAGGACTCATGTAGGACAGAAATGGCATTTGAGAATTGGGCCATTTTTACTGTCAAATTAACCGTGCATGATCCTTTCCCTGGGTTGGGATTTGGATGTCCAGATAATCTTCTCAGGCTTAAACATCTGTAGGCTTTTAAATGACGGGCCATGACAAGGAACTTTGCTCAATAAATCCACACTCCTATCCTTAGCCGGGAAGACCCTTCAGATTTTTAACATTGAGATGAAGAGCAAAATGAAGGCTCACACCATGACGGATGATGTCACCTTTTGGAAGTGGATTTCCCTGAACACCGTTGCGCTGGTCACCGACAATGCTGTTTACCACTGGAGCATGGAAGG